AGAATCCACTTGATGCTCAGGATTGCTTTGCTACTGATGGAAAACCAAGTGTATGATCTCTTTAAGGACAGAAGCCCCCTATGAAACAGGCAGAATACACAAGACCATTGTATCACACACTCAGCTCTGCAAGGTGTAGTTCTGGGTGGAAGTTCACTGCAGATTCTAGGCATCAAGGTGGACTCTGCAGAAACTATGGGGTATGAATCAAACTTTTCAGGTTTGGATCAGTGGGAAAAAAAGGAGTGATGACATTGCTCTCAAGAAGAATAACTTGAATGGAAACCATATGGTGGGAGGCAACAGAGGCTAAAAAGTGAGTGAAGCAAAGTGTGGCCAAATTCTAGGTACACTGTCCCAAATTGTGGCACTGCCAGGGTGGTTAAAAAGTAATTGAACAGATTGGTCACATAGACAGTGCCAGAGGTGCCTTCCAGGGGACTGAGGATGAGAAGGGAGATAAGGTGGAGGACTCCAGACTCCTGAACCCTCCTTGGAGGGACCTGAGTACCAAGAGATGTTCAAATGTGTGAGAGTCAGTGGTTCTTAATAAAGGATAAGATTTATGTTCGAATCAAGGCCAAATAAAGACAGTTCCTTTGATGTGGCTTGTGACAGGCCATAGGGTGGAACCCAGATTTATTTAGAAAATTATAGCTTGAGAAAATGTAAAACAATTTAGAGAATTTTTAAGAAAAAAAATAGGCTGTTTTTCTCCTTCCTTCCCATACCCAAAAGATCACTCCAGTCTGCCTAGACTCGAAAGAGGGACGAGATCCTATTGTCTTTACATGCTGGAAAGAGCCCACAGGCCTGGCCCGTCAAAAGCGGAAGGACTGTAGTGGGATTTGATCCTGTGCTGGAGCACCGGGATGGCAGTGAAAGTCTTGAAACTGAGGCTGGCAAGGTTTAGCTAATTTTGTCAGATGTATATAGATATTGGCACATTCTTAAGTTTCTGAGTGATGTCATCCTCCTTCAACAAATTTCTTAAACTACGTCTTTACCAATAAGCATTTCTTTTCTAACGATGTCTTTCTGACTAAAATGTTGACTCATTCAGAGGATAGAGACTAGAGAGATAGAGAGAGGAAAAAAATGCTGTGTGGGAGGAGCAGAGCTTTATAAAACCAGTCATTTCCATGTCTGAGTTGTAATCAGCCTCCAAGGAGCATTTCTTGTCAGACGGCTCAGAGAACAGCAAGGTATTTCGGTGATTTCCCCAGCCATCTCTATGGGGAATATGATTACATTTTTTTCTCTTCTTTTATGCTGGTACTAACATATTGAAAATTAAGTTGGGGGATGTTTGTAAAAGCTAAGTAAAAATTAAGTGTTTTCTTGTTTAGATGTTTGCGTAATTGAAAATATTTTAATTTAAGGTTTGTATTAAATTTATAGTAAGGCTTAATTTTGAATCTCAAAAGCCAGGAAATGCCTATGCAGCATTAACTAAAAGAAAGTGTATATTCAAATTGTTATGTCAACATTTTTGAGCAGATTAAAATATGTATATTCTACACTAGCTACTGTTTTGACACTGAATTTGATGGAAATAGCTAGAATCTAGAGGTTCTCAACCTGTGGGTCATGACCCACAGGAACTATATTAAAGGGTTGCAGCATTAAGAAGGTTGAGAACCACTGAGCTAGATAAATTAAAATATTTCAATTTAAGCAACTGAAAGTAATCTCTACATTATATATTAATTAAAAGGAAAAAAGGACTCAATTGGCTAAATAAACAATAAGAAACTTCAGAAATTAAGCATCAACTTGGATTGGGTCATTGTAGGACAAGAATATATGTATTGAGTTTAGTTCAGTAATGGGTCAATTTAATGAAAGAGAAAAATCAGCCAAACTCGCTGGTGGGTTGACTGAACTATGGTTCAATAAATAATTTCACATCCCATAAAGAGACTTAATTCATTATGAAAGTCATCAACTAAAAGATACTGTTTTTAATTCTAGGGGATATATATTTTTGATGAGATGTTTCCTTGAAACTATTGTTTTATCTTAGTTCTAATTTATTTTTGTGGTTAATTTCAAAATATTTGTATCGTGTAGTTGTAAAATAAAAAAAATCATTTTAAAAGCCACAGGAAGCTCCAATCTAGCATCCAGGGCCAATGGGAAGAGGGACAGTGGCAGTGTGCCTGGTGGCTCCTCCCAAGTTCTTTATCGCCTGTGCCAAGTTTCAGTGGTGTCAACTTGTGTTGCAGGAACCAACACAGCATCAGGGACCCCCACCCTTCATATGATTCCCATTCACTCATTCCAGAGATAATATTAAACATTAATTAGGAGCACAATATTTGTGAGTTTAAGAGGTTGTATAACTTACTCTGGCGTCAAATAATTACAGGTGTCTCAGTTCTGGAAGGCTGTGGTATTTTACATCACTTCATGACTTCACTTTTGTATTGTCTCGGTAGCTTTTTATCCAAACAGAGGCCTGGCCTCGTCTGAGAATCAGGAAACTTTGCACATATATCCTTCATAGATTTCTAAAATTAAGAACCTCTCAAAACTTAGTTGAAAATTTCTAGTAAAAGCACTAGGCTTGGAATCAGAAGGCTGGTATCCAGTCTAGGTTTCTGAAATGAACTAGCTGTGCAATCTACAGCTTCATATTTTCATCTGTATAGCAGAAATTGCTAAGTTTTACTGGGCAAGTAATTACGCAAGAGAAACAAAACGGGAGCTAAAGGAATTCAGTGACTTGACATCTAGACATCATGTATTATTTTTACATTAATTAATTGTACTTCATTTAGAAAGAGAATTCAGACTTTTTTTTCAAAAGTAAATGCATCTGTGACAATGTGATTCTGTTTTTGTTAACTTTTATTTATCAGTTACCTTAAATCTTGACTTTGTTTCAGTAGCCCTTTCCAAAAGTTTGTCTTGACACTTAAATTCTTTTAAAACCTATACAGTACGTCTAATTAGCTATAGAGACATTTTTAAGTTCTAGAAGGAAGAGGAAACGAATTTCTGAGCCATTCAAGTTAATGGAGTGTCTGAGATGAAGAAAAAAATAGTGATTTTTTTTTAACTTAATAAGTATTCGAGTAGGAGTACAAACTTGATACATTTCTCTTTTTATTTTCTTTTTCTAGCATTTCTCATACTGTAACTTCAACTCTTAGCCATCACTGTGAAAGTATATATCATCACAGGTGAGGCAGCGTGAGACATTCAGAACAGTAGACTTTCTTAGGCAGACATAGGCTTGAATCCCTGCTCTGTTACACGTGGGCTATGTGACCTTATCTAAATTACTTAGCCACTCAGAGCATAAGGATATAATCTATAAAAACAGAGATAATCATATCTGCCCAATACAAAACCTATAGCAATTAAAGGAGGAAACAAGAACAGGTGGGAGAGTTTCAGGGACAAATTTTATTTAAATTTTTATTTTTTTCTTGATAAAGTCCAATCAGGTCATATTTCAGGTGAGAAATTTTGAAACAAGTTCCAGTTACTTTCTTAAAAGAATCCATGAACCAAGGGATTACACAAAACACCCGTGGATTACAGAAATAAGTGACAACTGATCCTGGTTGGAAAGCCGGGCTAAATGCTACCGTAGATGTAGGCAGTCTAGATAACAAGTACAGGACATGCCTCATCCTGGGGCACTTCCCAAACCACTCCTCAGTTCTGGGAAGCCACTGTCACAGGGAGGTTTCCTGAGGGATGATGAGTGTCAGCGTTGGTTGGCATATTTATATATTTTGTTAATTATAATGTTTCAAGCTATGATGAAAGCAAAATATACAGCTGGAAAGATGATCATTGGCCAGTACCAAGAGAGACGCACACACACGGAGAAACACGCACACACACTCACACTCCTTGGGTGTGCCCAAGCATCCAGCTGCATGCAGAGCCGTGGTTCACAGCAGGTGTGTCTATTATTGATTGTCAGATGGTTGATAAGCTGGCGTATGCATGTGTTTCATATAAGGGTTATCCTTGCAGTCCGGCCTGGAGTTGACTTCCCACTGGGGGGACAGGGTGGCAGAAGAAGAGGGCCCTCCCAGTATTCCCAGTAATGAACTTCACAGCATAGAAAGTTCTTTTGTAGCAATGCTGTGGTGTGTGCAGTGTGTATAAGGCAGGGGCTTGGAGGCAGAGGCTGGGTGAAGTACAGACCCCCAAACAATGAGTCTGAGCCATGTCTAGAAGGGTAGGACACCTGAAAGGACATTGATCATGTCAAGTGGAGCCAACAGGAATGTCTGTGCACATGGCACACACTTGGAGTGTGTGTGTGTGGATACGTGTGTGTTTGTCTGTGTGTGTGTGGTATTGGGTGTGCAGCATGTTTGTTGGGGCACCAGACAGGTTGAGAGCATGACCTTACCTGAGGTCAGTTCCTATCCTGCCGCTGTTTATTGTTATTACCATTATTATCAGTGTTGTCACAGCAAGTGCCATAAAGTATCACTACTGATCATATAACTGTTTGCTGTATATCAGGATACAGGGTCTTGTACACAATAAAAATGTAGACCTCATATTTAAAATGATTAAGAATTTAGAGATGGGCTGAATGCCTGTGGCTCAGTGGTCAGGGCACTGGCCACATGCTTCAGGGCTGGTGGGTTTGAACCCCTCCTGGGCCTGCTAAACAAAATATTAATAATAGCCAGGCATTGTGGCAGGCACCTGTAGTCCCAGCTACTAGGGAGGCTGAGGCAAGAGACTCATTTGAGTCCAAGAGTTTGAGGTTATTGTGAGATATGAATCCATGGCATTCTACCAGGGGGGACAAAGTGAGACTCTGTCTCAATGGAAAAAGAAAAGAATTTAAAGATGGTGGTAAAGGAGCATTTGGCCAAGCACAGGGCCCTTTATGGCTACACAGGTCACCTGGCCATGAAATTGTCTGTATGCGGGGTACAGCCTGCCCTACTCTTCTGACCTCATTCAAAATGTTACATCATCTTTATGAAGCTAAATTTTTCTTTTTCACTTTCCTTCTAGATTGAAACCATGGAAGACCTTTATGTGGCAAATGCAATCTTTGCCCTGAATTTCTTCAAGCAGCTGGCCAGAGTGAATCCCACCCAGAACCTCTTCTTCTCTCCTTGGAGCATTTCGTCCACCATGGCCATGGTCTACATGGGCGCCAGGGGCAACACTGAAGACCAGATGGCCAAGGTGAGTTTGAGTTAAAGCTCCAAATTACCACGCAAGTTCCTCACCTGAACTGCAGAAGAGCTCTTGTTTTATGCTCAGGAAGTGTTGGCTAATGGGGTCAGCAGTCATCACATGTTAATAAAGCACAGTCCTTACAACATGCATTCCTCAGACTGCAATCTGTGAACGAGCCAAACCACAAAAATTCCCAACTGCAGATGCCAAAGGTATACAGGAGTTGAGTAGCCTGTAAATAGTTAATAGTGACATCATATGTTTTAATAACAGAATGATCTTACTTTTCCAAGGGAGTATTTTGTACCTGTTATCTCATTCAGTTTAAGGCAAGTATGATTTTACAGATGAGGACACTGGCATTGTGCATAAAGCCTGCACTGTCTCCTGACTCCTAGCTCAGGCTTCTCTTGGTCGGCCACCGGGGAGTGTTTGCTCCCTATTTCTATTAAAGAATCACTCCTATTGATGTTAAAAGTGTGTTGCAAAAAGGAAACAATGTACCAGGGCTGTGGTCACTACATTCACAGAGGAGCGTGACAGGGATGTAGCTTCAGTGGACCTCACCATGTCATCCAGCCTGTGAGCTCATATCAACAAAATGCTGGATGTGGTGGCTCTCGCCTATAATCCCAGCACTCTGGGAGGCTGAGAGAAGTGGTGTGCTTGATCTCAGGTGTTCAAGACCAGCCTGAGTAAAAGTGAGACCCCTTCTTGACTAAAAATCAAAAAACTAGTCACCTGTTGTGGCAGCATCTGTAGTCCCAGCTATTCAGGAGGCTGAGGCAAGAGGATAGCTTGAACCCAGGAGTTTGAGGTTGGTGTGAGCTATGATGCTGCCATGGCACTCTACCCAGGGCACAGAGTGAGACTCTGTCTCAAAAAACAAAAAAAAGGAACTTGGTGTTACATACAGCCAGTCTTCAGAATCAGGGTGGATGAGGCGTGGAACAGCATTGCGGTGGATTTCTGTAACAGGGCTGCTCCCTTCCTTCCTTGGTGAATAGACACAGACCCAGCCCAGTAACCTTTCCACTGAGGTGGGGCCTGAGCACGTGCTGAACTACACCCTGCACACGGAGACAGTCTTAGGGATTTCATTCAGCGTATAGAAAATTCTTATGATCTGTTATTTCCTAGGTCAGTGAGCTGGACATGGTCATCATATAATTAAAATTCCTTTGCTCTCACATACACACGAATGTGTTCAAATCAAATGCTCTAAGCACAAGCAACACACTGTGCTTCTGGTCACACCAAAATGCTGCTGGCTGGCTTCTAGTTTCCCAAGAGAATCGTACCTGAGTCCACGCACATCCTTTCCAGGGCGACCCATGGAATGTGGGCCTCATCTGCAGTGTGAGAGAGCATTGGCCAATCTCACTGCTGAAGGACAAGAGATGGATGAATCACCCTCTGTGACAGTTTAAACGTTGAAACTTACAACAAAACTCAATTGCTCAACTCTCTGATACCAGCAGCATTTTGTAATACTCTTTCCTCTTCATTGTAATTATTTTGTTTTAAAGTATAAAGATAGCAAACTGACAAGAAAACTTTAGAAAACATTCAGGTCTTTTTTTTTTTTTTTAGTATAAAGGAATCAGAAGTAATATGTTTTGGGGAAAAATACTAAGGGAAGTACTCTGGGTTGCTAAAGCAAAAAATTTGATTTTGATACTAAAGGAAAATTAACTTATTACAGATAGATTTCTTGTATCTAGTAGAACTTTAAGCCCTTGGAAGTATGCAAGGATTTTACATAGTCTTTTTTTTTTTTAATGACTCCACACCATGTGCAGATTTTATTTATTTTATTTTATTTTGCATGTTTTGACACTGTTTTTTATATAGACATTGCTGTATAAAGTTTAGTAATTCAGCAGGGAAGTGTAACTGCTCTCTCTGATTCTGATTGTAGGTGTTTCAGTTTGACAAAGTTGGAGTCCAGGAAGTGGCCCCGGTGACCCCAGAGAACTTCACTGGTTGTGAATTCACGCAGCAAATTCAGAAGGGCACGTATCCTGATGCTATTTTACAGGTATTTGACTCATCTGCTCAATTTATTTTGCATTTTATTTCTAGAATCTTGTGTTTTAAAGTCACGGTGTTAGTCTGGGAAGGAACTTTGGACAACTTCCCCCTTTCACAAAGAAAATTAAGACTCGAGGTCATTAGGAAAAATACATATGAAGAAGGGCAGAGTCAGGGCAGACTCCAGACTTCATGACTTTCAGAACAAGGCTATTTCTAAATTCTATCATGCCCCTGTGTGAGTATGTGTAATCTATTCTAAAACCATGCTGGAGACTACCTGAAAACATGTATGGATGAAGATTTCCAGAGGACAGAGGACAAGAAGTGACAAATAACCAAGAAATGGGGAAGGCCAGGGCCAAAGACTGTATGACAGGTCATGGATGCTCAGATATGTCTCTCTCACCATCTTTCTATCTGTCTATCTATATATCTACCCACCCATCAGTTATATATCCTATCTATCTATCTATCTATCTCAGATAGTAGTACCTGTCCTCAATACTTCATTTCCCTACATGTCAGCTACCCAGCTAAATTATAGAAATTGGGTACAGATGTGCTCCTATTGGAAACCAACTTCTACAGTCACGCTCTTGAGGTAGACTATGGAATCTCTAAAAGCTTCCTTCCTGGGATGCTGGTGCTCCATCTGTCCACGACACAGGAAAAGGATGGGTCAGAGGAGCAGAGAGGCCCCTATAAGATGGAGACCCTCTCCTGTGGCACCTGGCAGCCCATCTGTCCTCCACTCCAGTCCAGGCTGCTGTTGGAACCAATGCTGGTATCTGTCATGTGCTTAAAAGCTGCAGGTTGAAGATTGAATTCTCATTCACCCTTTTTGTTTTCTAAGACCTTCATTTTCCACTACATAAGCTAACTCCATAAAATGGGTACTTGTAGATGAATTTTGACTTTAGATAGACCATTACTAAGGTAATATTTTCTCCCCCAGATTTATTGAGGTATAGCTGGCAAAAAATGTACATAATCAAGGTGTACATCATGATTTAACTATACATTGTGAAATGATTATCACAGTCAAATTAACACATCTGTCACTACAATTAGTTACCATTCGTGCGTGCAGTAAGAATGCAAAAATACTTTCTTTGCAAATTTCAAGTAAAGAGTAGAGTATTATTAACTGAAACCACTCTACTATACATTAGATTCCTAGAACTTATACATATACCCAGAATTCCTTAAAGACCTTGAAATTTAAGGAACTGAAAAGGAGTCTATCTTTCCTCTTGGCTGTCGGTTACTTCCTGCATAAATCTAACCCATAGACACAGCAAACTTTGAAACAAATTAAAATTTTTCTTAGTTGTAATGCACCATATCATTATCAAAATCACTTCCTTAAAGACTCCTCTGCACTGCCAAAATAAAAAGAGAATATACATTAATGCAGCATTCAATCCTTGTATTGAGAAAACATTGTTATTGCTTAAGAAATATCTTAGTAGTCCTGCGTTATGTACCAAGAATCCCTTCTTTCTGTTCAAGGCACAAGCTAGAGATAAAGTCCATTCATCCTTCCGCTCTCTCAGCTCTTCAATCAATGCGTCCACAGGGGATTATTTATTGGAAAGTGCCAATATGCTCTTTGGAGAGAAGTCGGCAAGATTCAAGGAAGTAAGTGAAACCTGTAACTGAAATGGCTGCATCCCAAGCCAGCAGTGAGGTCACTCTCAAAGCTATTTTCTACAACTCTCCAATTCATACAGGCAAAGCTGGAATTCAACACCTGTGAGTTCCCAGGCTGGGCTCACATATCAGCTGTCCCTTCAGCTCCCTCCGTGGGTTCTTCCTTTTCCTGTTATAAGTGTCCCAACAGGAAGTAATAAATCAGGACAATGAACCCAACCATTTTCCTAAACCACTATTCCCTTAGCCAAACTTCTGTCCTCTTATTCAGTGTCTATAATGCAAAGAGTGTACAAGGGTGTATGGGATGTGGGGAAGGGGTCGATAGGGAACTTGCAATCTGCAGTGTTTCGTCCCCTCAGCCCACCCCCACCTCAGCTGATCACCATGCATAGGCCCAGCCCAGGCTTCCCGTACCTTCCAATTACACCATGTCCTTTTCACTATATATTCTACTCAACTACTGGCATTGTCTTGCTTTAAAGGAATTCATGCAACTCTGTAAGAAATACTACTCTACAGAACCCCAGGCCGTTGACTTCCTAGAATGTGCAGAAGAAGCTAGAAAAAAGATTAATTCCTGGGTCAAGACTCAAACCAAAGGTAAAACCAAGAAAATATGGTATTTTTCTTTTCTTTTTTTCCACTTAGAGAACTCTGAACTGTTTTTTTTAAACCATCCTTGGACTTGGATCTCCTCTCTTTAAAATTTTCCCAACTCTAGTTACTTTGTTTAAAGTAAATTTATGTCTGTTTAGATGAGTTGTATTTTAAATTAAAAAAAAATAACTGAGATCCACTAAAAGAGGATGTGTTCAATACTTAAATATTCTGATTTATAACAGGAGAAGAGGCAGAGGTTTTCAAACACAGGAAATATCAGTGTTGAAATGCCTGTGCCCACTCTGGACAAAAAGAAAAAAAAAAAGCTCGATCCTGGGCTTAGTAATTGGTATAATTTGTAAAGAATATTAGTAGAGAAGAAAAGGATCATAAAAATACTTAAACTCTCTCTTCTCTTTTAACATTCAAAGCCAATCCATTGTCAAGACCTGTTGGTCCTTGTTTTTTTCTTTTTTATTTCTTTTGGTACTTGATTATCTAAGCCACTTTTACCATTTTAATTCATGTCATTAATTTTTCCATAGACTTCTGCCTTCTCCTCTATTTTATGTTACAAGAACTCAAACTTAATCAAATCATTCTTTCATTATTGAGTTCATTCATTCAGTCAACACATTTATACACCATGTACTATGTGTGAAGAACTGTATGTTGGGATAAAGGTAAAAAATGGCATGCCTGCCATCACAGAACTTACAGCCTGGGGGTGGCGTTTGATCACACTGGCAATTGCTATAGAGTAAGGTGAGTGCTGTAACCGGGAAGTGTGGGTGTGTGTAGGAATATGTAAGAAAGGGTTCTGCCCGGAGTAAGAGATGTGTAGGTTGTGATCAGGAAGATAAGTGGGAGCTGAACTTGTCGAAGCCCTGGTGGCTGCAGAGAGAGTTCTGGACAAAGTATGCAGTTCATGCCGAGGTCCAGAGGTGCTTGACCCTTTAAGAAAACAAATGGAATTTGGTCTGACAGGTGTGTGAGTGCTAAGTGCGGAAAGGGGATGAAACTGAAGAGGTAAGGGAGCATGCCTATCATGCTGTCCTCCACTAAAACATTTCAGTGACCTCCTACTGTCCTTGGGGGAAGGCCTCACTCTTGACTTTGACTTCTGAGTCCTCCATGATCCAGCTGACTGCACCCGACTCCTGCTGGTTCCTTGAGCCCCCACCCACACCGTATACTCCCCGCTACCTCCAAATTTTCCTACATGGATCCCTCAACTGTAGCTTTTAATATGACTGGCAGCCTGAGTCCTACCCCCTCCCCAAACTGTCTCCTCTCCACTTTCTGACCTTTACTTTTTCTCAACTCATTTTCTGCTTTCTGAGCTTACAACTCACATTAATATTTGCGGGGTAGGGCTTTGAACTGCTGTCGGATGGACATTCGTTTGCTTTGCCTTTCCACCCACACTATAATCTGCGGGCTACTATGTTACACTTCTCTTGTGTCCTCATAAAAATTAGTGCAGTTTTTTGCTGACAGAGAAAATCCTTCATTCTTCTGAATTTCCAAGTAGAACTATAGGCCTTAAGTAATTGCTGAATAATAACTTATAAATGTATTTGTAAGAGGAAAAAATAGATTTTTTTTATAGATGCAGAATTGTTCCTGTAGTTCACAGATTCAGGAGCTGTGAGGATCAGAAATGTCCAAGGAGGGCCCCTGTCCCAGCTGACCACCCTGTGGTGGTGAACGCCCGCTGGCTCATCTAAGATCCCACTGACAGTAATGGTGTCGGGGTTACCTCTTCTGATCCTTACTCTATTCCAAAATTCTTCAATTGGAAGTTTAAAGATTTTGATAATGTAATGCTGAAAAAAAAGTCCCCTCAAACAGATTTTTGTTTAACTGCTACGTTTAAAACAGTTTCAAGTTCATGTACATGGAAAATGTATGCAAACTAAGTTCTAGAGAATTACAAAAAAAATCTTTTCTGTTTATCTGAAAATAGTTGATTTTCTTTTAGTTCTTCATTTGCATCGTGGAGTTTTAAATTATTGTTCTTAAATATTGACAGACAACTGCCACAAAGGAAGCAGGTAAAGTGAAATTAGCAGAAGTGAAAATAAAAACAAAAACAGCAAAAATGAAAGCGACCTGGAAGCTTTGCTTCCTTTAAAGAACCGTATGAATCATTTTCCTCTTTGAACATTGTGTTGAATGGCTGTAAATCAGTCACTTGTACTGGCAAAATGCCAAGCGGTCTTGGGCAGATAGTTTTACCAACCTTATAACCATTTGAGAAGATTGCCTGTTTTAGCGTATTATGATCAAAGACTAGTTTTCTCATATGTATCACAAAATTAAATGCAACATTAGTAGATCTCAATACTAACCAAAAAGAGTAATGCTTAGGTAGTCTGGTGAAAGGACACAGTGAGTGGATATATTGAAGCTGGGACCACTGTGACCTTTTTATTAGTCTGCTGTCTGTCGGCCGTTAGCAGAGAGTGTGGGTTGTAGAGGAAGAATTTTTACTAGGTTAGCAGCATTGTTTGGGGACATTGCTAACCTCTCTCACCACAGTGTTCTTGGGTGTAAAATTACACTAGTAACACCTACCTAATAGAGTAGTTGTGAGGATTAAATATAATAAGGTATTTTAGGGTGGCTCAAAAGGGTAGGGCGCCGGTCCTATATGCTGGAGGTGGCGGGTTCAAACCTAGACCCGGCAAACAACAACAACAACAAAAATACTAAAAAAAAAAAAAAAAAAAAAAGGCATTTTAGTGGTTGAAATACCATAAAGCGGGTACTCATTGTAAGTGGACTGTTTCTTAACTTAATTAAACCAATTTTAATTTTTTAATGACTGTGTTCAGATGTCATCATTTCTGAGAGCTTCTCTGGCTCACTCCTCACTCCTTCTCTGAGTTGCCATAGCACTTTGTCTCATTAGGTCAACGATAGAACTTACCACAGATTGTGTCCCAGCTGACTTTGAATGTCTTTTCTGGTATTCTCACCTCCTCCAGGACAATCCTTCCTTTCTTATCCCTTATATCTGCACCACCCTTAGTTTGGGTGCAGCACAGCATTTAAACAATGTTTTGGAATGGTGAGTGTGTCCAGTTGCTGGAGTGACTAGATCAGATCTGGGAATACTAAGTGACATATTTTGGAAAGGCACAGTTATGTTCCCTACAAGCCTCACTTTCACTTCCTTCGGAATTGAATAACTCTCAACTGCAAAACTTGGAGAAAGTTATATAAAAGGAAGTGAAAAATGCCCTCGCCGAATTTGGTAAAAAGTCTAAATTTTAATGCGTTATTTCTCATTTTTTCTCTGGGATTTTGCAAGCCTCCTGAGAAACTTGTGCCAATTTTCACTTTATGTTTGAAACACATCTGGAGACAGCCTTGAGCTTGAGGACCAGCAGCTCTGCAGTTTGACCAATGTGGGCACTGAGTTTGATGGCTGCTCAAAAGCTTTGATACATCATAATTTCACAGTTCTGGATCAGGAAACCTAAACATATGTTATGTTTTCTGTAGGCAAAATCGAAAACCTGTTACCTGAGGGTTCTGTGGATGCAGAGACGAAGATGGTCCTGGTGAATACTGTCTACTTCAAAGGAAAGTGGAAAACCCCATTCGAGAAGAAACTAGAAGGGCTTTATCCCTTCCGTGTGAACTCGGTATGACATAACTAGATGCATTTTCTTAACTTATATTGTAAGGCTTTTGACAAGACAGAGACAGAAAAATTTATTCTCCTTCGTGACTTGCTAGCAACTGGATATAATTCAATAGCTTCCTGAAAAGCAGTGTGGGTGGAAGTGAAGACCACGGGCTTTATAATTTTATACACCTGGACTCAAATGTTGGTTCTAACACTTACCAGCTGTGAGCTTACTAACCTTCCATGCATTTTGGTTTTAATTTATGAAACTAGGATAATATAATTTGCGATTTCAATTAAAGTGCAGTAAGTGTTCAATGAGAATTAGCGGGGTCCCTGGCCCATATTAGATTCTGAACAAATATTTATTACTGTTATGATCTATGTTCTTGTTTTATTACCTATTTATTTACTGTTTTCTATATTAGTAAATAGTGGATGTCAACTTGAACAAGCTAATAAGATCAGGTCACCCTCTGTAAGGATCTGTTAATAATTTATTTTGTTGATTTTAAAAAACACAGTTTTTCAACTCTAAAGAGAGCCCATTTTCTTTCGTGTCTAATTGTGAATCTCTTGGCATCTTAGAATTGACTTTCGTATTTTACTTCTTAATAATTTTAGATTCAGCGCATCCCTGTACAGATGATGCTTTTGCATGAAAAGCTGAACATTGGCTACATACAAGAGCTGAAGGCACAGATTCTAGAAATGCCGTATGCTGGAGATGTGAGCATGTTCATCTTGCTTCCAGATGAAATTGCCAATGTGTCCACAGGCTTGGAGATGGTAAGGCTTCCAACCATCACTTCTTTTAAATTTCTGGGGCTAAATGTACCTTTCATGAGATGAACATCTCCAGCCTAGGAAATGGTGTGTAATTTCTCAGGGAACTATGTGAATCATTTGATAGACAGTAAATGTGGCATGTCTCAAAAATGCATTCAAAGCTTTAAGTATGTCATACACGCTACCTTCTTGCAAAAATCTGACTCATCTGTTAACTTTGAATGTCACCCATAGTGTAGGGAAGTTAAAGTAACTGGTTTTTAACACGACACTTGGAGATGTTTTCCTCTCTTCTGTGACATTCACTGTGTTTTCTGTTTCTCTTGTTTTGCTTTCTTCTTTGTTCTGGTTCGCAGCTGGAAAATGAAATAACCTATGAGAAACTCAACAAGTGGACCAGCAAGGACACGATGGTGGAAGATGATGTGGAGGTGTATATCCCCACGTTCAAACTGGCAGAGCGTTATGAACTCAAACCCATCCTGAGGAGCATGGGCATGGATGACGCCTTCAACGAGGGCCGGGCCAATTTCTTAGGCATGTCGGAGAAAAATGACCTGTTTCTTTCTGAAGTGTTCCACCAGGCCACGGTGGACGTTAACGAAGAGGGCACAGAGGCAGCTGCCGGCACTGGAGCCGTGATGACAGGGAGAACTGGTCACGGAGGCCCGCAGTTTGTGGCTGATCACCCTTTCCTTTTCTTTATCATGCACAAAATGACCAAAAGCATTTTGTTTTTTGGCAGATTTTGCTTACCCCCAAACTGAAAAGCTCTATTTGTATACATGATTTTGTAGCATGAGCCGTAAGCCGCAGTATTCCTATCTCAAGTGCCAGAAGCTTAGAGACCTTTTCTACATATTTCTGTCCCTCTGGACAGCTTCTGCTACACATGAAGTATAAACACAGAAAGAAGTAGACAATCGTCAATCGTAACATGACAACCTTATTAATCATTTGTTCTCCTAAAATGGGGTGATGCCCGTTTAGTTTTTCCTTAATTTTATAGCATTAACATTTTATTTATTATTTTATATAATGAAAGGTTTTTTTAATTGCTCAGCCTACTTAATGTAACTGATGAAGTTACAGAAGCAGGTGATCAGTTTATTTTCTGTATAAAGAAATGTATTTATATATTCTTACAATGAAGCACGAGTAGAGGCCCCTCCACGCCCTTCTATAATAAATACCTACAAGAAAGCATTGAACAATGGGCAGACACAGTTACGTGAGTTTCTCGAATGCTATGTATCATCTATATGTATCTGGAAATTATATGAAATGGCAAATATATAACAAATAAACATATTTGCACACAGCTACATGTTTGTTGGCATTGCATTAGGTCTGCAGATCATAAGACCTGTTATACCCTGATGTCCCAGAGTTCAGCATCATGGTTTATTGAAACAATAGACAAGATGAAGGACTCAGGGCTATAACCACACTCTGGCAAGAAGATCCAGGGTTCAGAGTGAATAGAATGGGGTTGTGTAAAAAATTCATTAGAGCTGCCTTCTCACAACAGCAAGAGGCATAGCAATTCAGAATGGTTAACGTCAGAGTGAGGAAACCAGTGTCTAAACTTCAAGGACACCAGAAAGAACCATGGAGTTCAGTGGGCCAGACACAGAATAAGGTTTCAGGCCTTGAGCAGAGAGGGGAGATAGGCAGGGTGCAGGAGCAGGAAGGGAATCAGAAGGCAGCTCATTTTAAGGAATTGGAAGGCAACGTATTTAAGGAATCAGAAGGCAGCTCATTTTCTTTCAAATAGCACTGAATACTTCTGAGTGGGTCAGAGGCAGAGCAGAACAGTATTTAAGAACTGGAAACTAAGGTAAATCAAATATTTGGGGGCAGAGTATAGTGAGTTCCTGGAATGTACCACACTCTGGAACACAGTCAGCAGGGAAACTTGACTGACCAGAGCACGATGGCAAAGAAGAAGTCTTAGGACCTGACTCTCTGCCTCTGGATCCCCGTTCTGACACTTACAGGTGGTCTAACCACGGGCCAAGCGTGATGCTTCTTTGCTTCAATTTTCTTTCAGTGTAAACTAGAGAAGATATTTCTCTTGTCATAAGGTTGCTATGATGATTAAATGAGTTCATATGTATGGAGCAATTAAAAGGATACTTAGCATATATGGTGTTTAGTAAATACTAATAATTATGTCCTTATGTTTGTCAGTAATAAAACTGTTTCACTGTCAGCTAGTCAATCATATGCACAGAAGCCCAGAAAACTATTCAGCTATTATTTTAATGCTCAAATCATGGTGAACTGCCTCTGATCAGGCCTGGGCTTCTTGCATCTTCCTACTTACTGTTAGATTCACCTTTCTAAGCACTCTAATAGTTCACTCTGCAAGGTTGTATGTGGTAACTTTGTGAGTCATTGTGAGCCTTAAAATATCCATATTTCACTCTTATTGAGTAGACTTGGGTATAGAATTCCAGGTTCACAGCACCCTTCAGTACTTCAGGCACAGAATTCTATTATCTCTTGACACCCAAAGTTGCTGATGGGAAACTTGAAATCAAGATAATTATTTTTCCTAATAATTTTTAATAATTAAAAAACGATTAATTTTTCTTTTGTTCTTGATTATATTTTTTCACATTTTATTGCCTTAAGTGTATTTTTGTGTCTTTAAAAAATACACCCTGTTCGTTAGCAATTTTTTCCATCTGGAGACTGATATTTTTCTTCAGTTCTTGGAAACTTTCAGCCATGGCTATGGGCTTAAGGTTTGAATCTCCTCAAAACTCTTACACTGAAATGCCAGTGTCCAATGTGATGAGATTTAGAGTTGGGGTCTTAGGGAAGTAATTAGAGTTATGTGAGATCATGAGGGTAAAACTCCATGATGGGATTAGTGCCCTTATGAGGAGCTGAAGATGCCATGTCTTTTTATTTCTGCCATGTGAAAAAGGCAGCCATTTGTGAACCAGGGAGAGGGCCCCCACAAGAACCCAACCATGACATTTCCAGTCTCCACAACTGTGATGAATAAATGTTGTTTAAGCTCCCCAGTTTATAGTATCCTATTACAGCTGACTAAGGCAGCAATCATCTACCCCCACCCCCTGCCCCTATTCTCTTCTTCTGGATTCCCATCAGAATAATATTAGTGTAACCTGGGGCTCTTCTCTCTGCTTCTAAATTTGTTTGAATACCAAATAAGTTCACATGGTCCTAAGACTGAAGATTATCAAAAAGACTAGCATAAAACCTCTTTGTCCTACTCCTGTTCCCTATTCATTTAGTTCCTATTCCTACATCTTTACTAGTAATATATGTACAGTTGATACACACACACACACACACACACACACACACATAGGGCAGACCATAAATAAAAATAACAAACAAATTTGTTATAAATACTATGTTACTAACTTAGGATATACCTTTCTCTAATCCCCCAACAAGCAATAAAATAATGCACAACCATAATTTTATTGCTGTGGATAATATATCTGTCTGCAGGAGTCTTAAGAAGAAATAGGAAAGGATTCTAGAATAGATATTAAAAGAAAAATAAGAAAAACTTCATCGGTGACTTTAAAGAAAATAACACAATTTCTTGCCTGATTCAGCAGAATCTATATTGATGCGTTTACTACAATATAACAACCAGAGAAACTCTTCCTATTGTGCAGTGATGCAGCTCAAGCCTTACTCTGGTCAACTGCTATCAGTCAAGGTGAGCAGTCCTTCTACCTGGAGCCTCCATATGATAAAAATCAGGAAGGCATCCTGGAATTTCCTAGCACAGGTTTCATATCCTTGAAAAATCCAGAGTAACATTCTACTCTGGTTTCCACACCAACATTCAAATATTAAACCCTGAACCGCTTGCCAGAAGATATGTGCAACTCTGTGAAGAGAAAAAGAGGCCCTACATAAAGAAAAACATACCAAATACAACAGTAACAGAAGCTCCTCTTTTCCCTTAATCCCTCGATTTTTCCTGCTGGTGTTCATCTTTCTCCTCTCTCCCCCACCATTCCTCCATACACATGCAAATGAAACAACTGACCCATCATTTCCCCTTTACAACACATAAGGAGGAAGATTCCTAGGGGGGAATAAAAGAACTAGAAAATGCTGAACTAACATCCCACACAATAACTGTGTCTAAAACATTGATCCACAAAAATAAAGACCATATGATTCTTTCAGTCAATGCAGAAAAGGCTTTCAATACTATCCAGCATCATTTCCATGATACAAACACTGAAGGAAATAGGCTTAGGTGGGACTTTCTTAAACTGATAGAGGCCATCTACAGCAAACCCACAGCCAATATCATATTGAATAGAGTAAAACTGAAAGGATTTCTACTCAGATGTGGAGATAGACAAGGATGTCCACTGTTACCCATTGCTATTCAACATAGTACTGGAAGTCCTAGCCATCACAATCAGGCAAGAGAAGGAGATCCAGGGTATTCAAATACAGACAGAGACAGATCATGTCATCAGCAAACTCTAGTTCTTTGCAGATGACATGATCTAATACCTGGAAAACCCCAGGGACTCAACTACAAAGTTCTTAGTAGTGATCAAGGAATATAGCACTGTCTCAGGATACAAAATCGATATGTACAAATATGTAGCCTTTGTATATGCCAATAATAGTCAAGCCAAGAATAAAATAAGAGACTATTCCTTTTATAGTAGTGCCAAAGAAGATGAAATACCTGTGAATATATCTAACAAAGGATGTAAAAGACTTCTATAAAGAGAAACCCTGATAAAGGAAATAGCAGAAGATTTTAACAAATGGAAAACCAGACCATACACATGGCTGGGAAGAATGAACGTTGTTAAAATGTCCATACTACCCAAAGCAATCTATACATTTAATGTAATCCCCATCAAAACCCCAATGCCATACTTTAAAGAACTTGAAAAAATAGTACTTCGATTCATATGGAACCAGAAAACAAAACAAAACAAAACAAAACAAACAAACAAAAAATCCTGAATAGCAAATACAATTCTTAGAAATAAAAACAAATCTGGAGGCATCATGTTACCAGATTTCAGGTTATACTACAAGTCTATAGTGATCAAGATAGCATGGTACTGGCACAAAAATAGAGATGTAGATTCATGGAATAGAATAAAGAATCTAGAGATGAGCCCAGCCACATATTGTCACTTGATCTTTGATAAGCCTAACAAAAGCATGCACTGGGAAAAAGGGTCCTTATTTAGGAAATGGTGGTGGGAGAACTGGTCAGCCACATGTAGAAGACTGGAACTAATCCCACATCTTTCACCATTGACAAAAATTGATTCTTGCTGCAAGAATGATTTAAATTTAAGACACAAAATGATACACATTCTAGAAGAGAGTGTTGGGAAAACACTTGAAGATATTGGCCTGGGAAAAAACTTTATGAGGGAGACATCCCCCACCCCACCCCACCCCATCAGTTGTAGTAACACCAAAAATAAATGAGTGGGACATGATCAAGCTAAAAAGCTTTTTTGCACAGCCAAGGATACCACAAACAAAGCAAACAGAGAGCCTTCAGAATGGGAGAAGATTTTTGCATGTTATGGATCTGACAAAGGCCTGATAACTAGACTCTACAGAGAAATCAAATTAAATAAGAAAAGAGCAGTCAACCCCCTTTATAAGTGGGCAAGAGACTTGAATAGAAACTTCTCCAAAGGTGAGAAATGGCTAACAAACACGTGAAAAAAAAGTTTATCATCTTTAATCATTAGAGAAATGCAAATCAAAACCACTCTGAGTTATATCACCTAATTCCAGTAAGATGAGCCCACATCACAAAGTCCCAAAACTGCAGATGCTGGCATGGATGTGGAGGGAAGGGAACAATTCTACATTGCTGGTGGGACTGCAAATTAACACAACTTTTATGGAAAGAAGTATGCAGAATTCTCAAAGAACTAAAAGGTGACCTTCCATTTGATCCTACAATCCCAATATTAGGTATTTACCCAGAAGAATGACAATCATTTTACTACAAAGACATTTGCACAAGAATGTTTATTGCAGTTCAGTTCATAATTGCCAAGTTGTGGAAGCAACCCAAGTGCCCATCAACCCACAAATGGAGTAACAAATTGTGGTATATGTATGCCGTGGAATACTATTCAGCCATAAAAAAGATGGAGAATTTACATAGTTTATGTTTACCTAAATGGAGTTGAAACACATTCTTCTTAGTAAAGTATCTCAAGAATGGAAAAATAAATATCCAATGTACTCTACACCAATATATATGAAACCAATATATAAACAATTATATGCTCATATGAACAATAAAACAGAAATATAATCTATTAAGGGGTTGGCAGAGGCGGGAGGGGGAGGGTATGAGGGAGGATGATTGGTGGAAGGTGGGGAGGGCACGAGGTGGGATCTCACCTAGTGTGCACAATGTGAGGGTATATACAACATGCCCCTGGGTGAAGGATTCCTTTACAACTGAAACTTTACCTTGGAAATGAGAACAAGGTAATCTAAAAATGGGTACCCTCATATTAATTTGAAATTCAAAAATAAAATTAAAAAAAGAATAATTTCAGCAACTTATAACTCATACCCATTAGAGAGAACAAATATTATCAAGAGCACTAAAACACTCAAATCCTTTAATAAGTAGATAACAAAGTATATAAGGTATTATGTAAGATAATAATAAACTATCAGTGGAGAAAAAAAAATATTGATCCAACCTTCATGTCCCTGGTGGGTTGGGGGAGGGGAGAATTGCCATCTCAGCCTACATGGGCTCTTCTCACACGTTGCTCTAAAAACAACCTCGATGGTTTCACAGCAAATAAATCACCAGCAATATTTCCATTTCATTGCTTATTATTATCTCAATGATTTGAAGCTTTCTATTTCTGTTTAAAGAAAAAAGATACCAGGGAAAACCATAGTAAAAGGAATAGATTTCCATGGTATCTATTTTAAAAAAAACAAACCCACAGAAATAGAAAGCTTCAGTTTCTGTTGTCAGTTGGCAGAAATAGCTTCAGCTTCTATTCTCAGTTGGCAGAATAGACAAGGGATTAAGCAAAAAAAGCATAAGTTACAATTTGTCAGAATTCAGGTCTCTACATGTGGACAGACATGGAAAATGTGAGTAACTAAACCGTGGAGGCAAAACCCCAACTGTCTCTCGGTCTTTTTATTTGAACTTCTGGATAAAACAAACCTGAAAGAAAGTGTACACACTTATGAAAGTGAATCAGAGGGTGGGGCTAAGAAGGGGGAGGTGCTAAGGTTCTTTTTTTTTTTTTTTTAATTTCTTCAGTTATAAGTTACCTAACTCTTTAGCCACAATCTCTTGCAAGGAAGCAATTACCAATTCCGCTCCAGTGGAAGAAAATAAGGTATTGTAAATATATATATGTATTTTTTGGTTAATGATGTTTATTTATACTTTTCTTCTTTGTTGAAGTGCCTAGCTAATTACAAATGATAAAGACCTCCCTCCATAAATAAATAAAAACGTAAATAGATAAGGCTTCTTCTCCTAAGGATTTTTCTGTATGAGTCAGAGAGAATTAACGCTGAGGTGGTTCAGGGTTTGTACTGCACAGAGCAGGAGAGAACATGCGTTTCCAACCAAGTCAGAGACATTCTTTTACTAGGAATTGTAAAACCACAAGTGAAGTTTCCTGCACTCACGTTTTTCAATTTGCTGCCTCTGTATCTGTCAACATAGGTAAAGAATAATAGAACATTCTTGGAATAATTGAGTTGAAACCCTTCCAACTTTTCAGAAAAGTGGGAGTGGCAACGTGAATTTCAATCCTAGTTATTGATATACGGAACTAATGCTCTAACTGCTCCCCCTTATCCAGCACCCCACTGTCCTGGCCACTGTTTCATGGTCCGTTAGCTTTCTTCTCTTCTATGGAATAATCTAAGTCCCTGATCGCCCACCTTACACTAGGTGGTCTTCATAAACTATGCCAGACCATGCCATCCCTCCGAAAAAGCCTTGAGGTGATTAGCCAGGCACGGGGAAGTGGGGGAAGACCTCGTCTTCTGATATGCACAGCTCCATGAAGGAGTTAATATCCGTTTCACCAGCAAGGCCAGAGGCCTTGAATAATCTCTCAGGGAAAGGGGGAAGCATCCTTCCTGCTTACTCTCTTCTCCTCTTGTTCCTCCTTATCCCTCTTCTGATTTTCTTTATTCCCCTGTTAGTCCTCCTTCAACACCTAATCCCTCTCTTTTACCATTAAAATCTTAAAGACAGTGAGAAATAATGACAAAAGCAGCAGCATTCAGAGTCAAGAGAATGAGGTTGTCCTTTGAGTCAGCTGTTAGCTACCTTGGCGTGGGACTCAGCTCATTTAACCTCTCTAGGCTTTAGTTTCTTAGCAGATAAGAACGTTGGAATCTTAGGGGGACTCCAGGATTCTTTCCAACTTTGATATGCTAGGAGCTTGTGTGTCTGGGATGCCTTTTCCTACTTTTTCAATTCTCTTCAGCTTCTCTCCTAAGCCCCCTGACAGAGATAATCAGCTCATAGCTCTGGAAAACTGCAAAATAGCAATTTACTTTGAAAATATGTAACCTAGTAGGCTTCTGAATTAGACAGTTACAGACTTCTCTGGAAAACACAATTGCCCAATACTTGTATAGAAAAATTATTTCTTACAAAATCTCATCCTAAAATTCTAATACCCTTCAGAAAGTACTTTATACCATTGGATTAAATATTATCAATGGCTGGCTTAGTGCTTCATTACATTTCTTGAAAAAGAAAGTGGAAATTATTCCTCTTGTATGTTCTGAGCTACACTGGATATATACCAAGGAGGGAATCAACCACGTGTAATATAACTGGATATTAACTTTTAAAGAGAAATTAGCTTTTGTTATAGAGCATTATTGTTTCAAGAGTTTGTTACAGGTTAAACAACAAACAAACAAATAAAAAAAACCCACCTCTACACAGACAGAGGTAGAAAGATAAAAATCCCAGGCCCTAAAATATTATTTTGTCCTTGACCTTTCATGTCACGTATGGTTTGGCAAACATTTTTCACATGAATTTAATTCATGAGTTTTGAAAAGAGAAAACTTGATATATACTGTATACAGTAAGCAAAATGCCATTTAAATGAATATCTACTTCCTTAAAGGAAGTAGAGGAGATATTTCCAAGATGGCATTTGATCTGTTAAAAAGGTAAATTCCCCAATTTTATTGAGGGTATAGAATTACTACAAAACTATAGTTGTTTTTATTTTTTAAATAAAATCAAGTCTGCCTAGGATTATCAGCTTTTGGAGTAGCAGGAGCCACACCTAAGGCATGATTTAGAGGCTGGGAAGCTGTCTGGTTAAGGGTAAGTCCATGGCTGGGAGCAATTTCCACAGTATCGCTGATAACTCCAAGTCATGCTGAAACCAAAACTCTGTCTACACACGCCTCTCCTCTGATTCAGTTATCTGACTACAGAAAACCAATATTTCTCAGAGCCCTTGTTCTATGCTTTTCAGATGGGCAGGTGATGTCAGGAACTTCCCGGTGATGGGAGTTTCAAAGTCTGAGAATTTGATTTATTTTTACTCATTAAACCAATATGAGAAAGTGTTTTGCCATAAAATGACAAGTGATTGAACTAGTTATGTCTTTGACCAGGAACTAGTTTTAAAAAACTTTGAGATTAAAATATTAGAAGAGTTAAAGATGAAATTTAGAAATTGAATGTAATATCAAAAAAGATGAGGAAACCTGAGTCCTCTTATTTAAGAAGATTGGTTTCAGAGGGTCTTGAATGCATGAGAATAAACACAAATGGGTCTTGACTTCTCTGTTAACATTTCTCACATAATTGTGTGTGATTTCAAGTTTAAATCAATAGAAAACGATGGAGAGAGCCCAAACAACGGATACTGTAAACAAGTAATAAGTATTTATGAGAACCCATTTTGTGCAAAGTCCTCAGCTGGGTGCTGTTGGGTGTACACAATTTTATAAGAAAAAAATTGGTCTCAGGAGCTCACTCTGCCTTTAGAAAGGCTAAATATAAACCCACAGAAACGAAACTCGTGCTGGGATAAATGCCAAGAGAGTCGCACAAACTATATTATGAAATTCGGCTGCTAACTGCCAGAATCCAGTTGTCCTCTGGTGCACATTAGTATTACAATCGGAGGCAATGCTCTTAAATTCTCTTGCCTGCAGTGTTCTAATATATAAAATAATATTGTTGGGCTAGACTTTCACTAAGGTCTATTTAACTTTTATGATATATATGATACATATATAAATATGGACAGGTACTTTTTCAAAAGCAAAATAAGTACAAAGAAACTATCAACATTCTCTAGATTTTGCTTCATTTTCCTTAGGTTTCCCAATGGATCCTCTAGCATCATCAATCAGCCAGTTTGCCCTGGAGTTTAGCAAAGAGCTAGCCGCATCTGCTGCGGGCAAAAATATTTTCTTTTCACCCTGGAGCATCTCAAGTGCCTTGGCCATGGTGTATTTGGGGGCCAGAGGCACCACTGCAGTCGAAATGGCCAAGGTGAGTGGAAGAGGTCGGTCAACCATTGTCTGTTGCCTTAAAACTAAATGCTTCCTCTATCTCTAAACTTCAGTTTCTTTTGAAAACCCAGTAGTCCATATTTTATAATAATGTTGTCCAGAATGAAAGATATACTTTAAAAAATGCTAGACCGTAACACAAAGCCTAGCATCGAGAAAACCATTTAAGAATCTTTGTCTTTGAGGAAAACAAAATGAAGAAATGATGAGGTTATCAATTTTGACTCAACACCAAAACCAATTTTATTTTGATGATTAAAATACTCCATGAAGTAATGGGTCAAACTTTAAGTCATAGTTATGTAGCGTGTTTCTAACCTCAAAAGGATTTTCTTGATGACACAGAGAAGAAACTTAAAAGAATTCTCTTGCTCATGCTTTGTTTCACTGTTACATTGTTCAGTCTCTTGTCTGAATGAATCTAATTCCCCCATGCGCACGTACACACACACAGACACACACACAGACACACCACACACATACGCTTATGGAGAAAGCCAAAGATAACAAAATTGCTGTATGTGCAGGTGACATGTATGTATGTATATAAGTAAGTGATTAGAAATAAAATACGTAAGTACATATACATAGTGTATCTCTGTGTGTATATTAATGTGTTTTTAAATAAAAATAAAAGAGTAAATTCATCCCTAAATTATGCAATAATCAAAAGGCTGAGTGACATGATGTTCACCCAAGTGGGTGTCATCTGTGCCAAGCATGGGAATGAACACAGTGGGTAATTATGAGTGAGGCTGGCAGAATTCAGGTTCTGTCAGTTTGGGTGTGGAATGTCACCCTTACTCTTGTAGTTCACAAGATGTTGGGTGATTCAAACACAACAACAAGAACAACAACAACAAAATCCGGGTTCACAAATTGTTACTGACTGGTTGATTGGCTTACCCATTACTGTGACAGACTTAATCTTAAGTGGATGTCAATTGGAATCTATTTCATATAAATACATTCCTGGGTGTTATTTGTTCTTGTTTTAAAGAACAGTACTCAATACTAATATGAAACCAACTGAAAAACAACTACACACCCACATGAAAGGAAAACACAATTAAATTCAAGAGGGGGAAGAGGGGAGGCGGAAGTGCAGAAGGGGGAGGGGTGAGCTCTCACCTAATGGGCACCATGGTGAGCTCTCACCTAAGGGGCACAATGTAGGGGTGTCAGCACACTTCCTGGGTGAAGGGCTCAACTACAGCTTGGACTTTGCCTGATAAATGCAACCTAATCATTTATACCTCATATTAATCTGGGAAAAAAGTACCCTTTGGGGAAAAAATCTTAACAGTTTCCAGTGCAAATGAACCTAATGAATGAGCTAGGAACCCCTTTTTGTATCACAGGTGGCCCTTGTTCCATTAGTTCAGCACAACCCTTGATACCGTACACTGTATTCCTTATTATACGTTGGGTCCTGGATGTGGGAGATGGAGTTACAGCCTTCTGCTCTGCAGTGGCACAACTTAGAGGAAATTGGGAGACCCACATCCTTCCTCTTCACTTTCAAATGAAATGCTGGGCTGAACACAAAGATTATGTCCATATACGTCAAGTGGGGGTAGACAATGGGAACTGGAGCACTTAACTAGAAAAAAACAATGAAAATCTCTTAATTTCCCAAATAACTGGGACACGGATGGCTTTTGTTTAAATTATCTAAATGATGGTCTCCTTTGGATATTTAGCCTTCTTAAAATAACCATGAATCCAAGGGAAATGTAGGAAGTAAGGGAATTTCACCTCAAGGTATTCCTAATGTCAACCTAAATATTTCATAAAAGGTGTTAAAACAAAGAGACTAGAAACATAAATTATTTAGAAGCAGCTCATAACTTACTCTGTTAGTTTAACACATCATTTAAGGCAAATCAGAGCTCCCTTATTTAATTTAATTAATTACATGTTCCACATCATAGTAGTAACTAATTTGTGTCTAGGAGTGTGTACTTCCTGTGATGATATCTCTGCACAGTGCACTCATCTGTTTTTTTGTTGAAATTACAGGTGCTTCAATTGAACAGGGACCAGGCTGACAAAACAGGTCCTGAAAGTGAAAAAAAAAGAAAAATGGTATATCTTATCTTTTAATATCCATTTGATGATTAAGGAGAAAGCACTTTCAGCATGTGTATTTCAGTGATAATTTAAGCAAACTTTAAAGGGTAATTTTCTTAGAAATATATATGCAAATTATAGAAATATTTTCAGAACATATGTACAAAATATCTGCACACTTTGGAAAACCATTTATTCCTCCTTTTTATCACTCTGAAAATGTCTCCACTTTCTTTTTTTTTTTTTTTTTTTGCAGTTTTTGGCTGGGGCTAGGTTTGAACCCACCACCTCCGGTATATGGGGCTGGTGCCCCACTCCTTTGAGCCACAGGCACTGCCCGAAATGTCTCCACTTTCAAACTTGTTCTTGTCTTGTTTGCTTTTGTAAAGTAGATGTGAAGATGGTGATACCCCTGATAACATTTAATTTTCTGCACTGATAACATGAAAGAAACATTTTTAACAACTTTAGGATTGTTTCCAGATTTTATTTACACATTCCAAATAATTTCATTTAGCTGTAGGTCACTAGAATTTATGTAGCTCTTGTTCAACATTTTTATTTGACTGATTCCTCTTCTTTTGAAGGAATTCAACTTGGGCAAGGCTGAAGAAATACACTGTGATTTCCAAACACTCATTTCAGAAATCCTCAAGCCCACCGATGCTCATGTACTTAAAACAGCCAATGGGATATACGGTGAAAAAACATACCCGTTTCACAACGTAAGTGGAAATGTCTTATCTTAAGCTAGTGGGGAAGAGAGTGCTAGGGAAAAGCAAGCAGTTAGCTCTGTGTACATTTCTCCGGGGATACCAGGGACAATTTTAATGTGGTCAGTACTTCCCTAGAAACAATCATTTAGACAATACTCATTTGGTAGTGAAGGAGAGCAATAAGGGGTATCAAACCAGATCTAGTGATCAGATCTTTATGTCTAGAAGGAAGAAGTCATGCTCAGAATAGCTGTGCACACATACAGAAACGTGGTCTACGTAATGCATGGGCCAGTGTTTGTTTCATGAAAAACAGAGAGGAAAATTAGGAATTCCTTAATCAAGAAAGGTAAGTCTGAAGGGGCAGAGAGTGATGTTTGCTATAGGACTATGGCTGGAGACTGTGTATCTGAGGGCAAAGAAGTGGGCAGTGTTCAGACTAGGTCTTTAGAGACCATGAGAACATCATGTAAGAAATAGTATCAATTATTGTGGGTGCGGTGGCTCATGTCTGAAACCCTAGCACTCTAGGAGGCTGAGGCAGGTTTAGGATTACTTGAGTTTAGGAGTTCAAACCAGCCTGAACAAGAGCAAGACTCAGTCTCTACTAAAGATGGAAAAACTAGCCAAGCATTGTGGCTGGGGCCTGTAGTCCCAACTACTCAGGAGGCTGAGGCAAGAGGATGGCTTGAGCCCAGGAGTTTGAGGTTGCTGTGAGCTATGACTCTACAGCACTCTACCCAGGCTGACAAAATGAGACTATGTTAAAAAAAAAAAAAAAAAGGAAGAACATCAACTCCCCTGTGCTACTGGTTTAAACTCTACCAATACAGACCATGGCAACTTTGTCCTCTGTAAATACTGAAGTGCTTTTCAATTCAGTGTAAATACTGAATTGTCAGCCACAAACAAGGGCAATGATTTACTCCTCTCAGGTATGTCTGTCACATCCTCAGGCACATACCCAAAGACAGCAGGAGGACCCAGGTGTCCCACAGATGAAGAGCAAGAAAATAAGACAGGGTAGAAGGACAGGAAGATCAAATAAAGGCATCTTGTGATTTCAAGCAGTGCTGTCCATGCTCCTATAATGTGAATTCTGGATATTCCAGGGCTCAGGCTTTGCTATAACTAACAATACAATTATCCAATGGAATCTTAAAGGCAGTTCCATTACTGACAGATAGCTTATGAGCTCCTCTTTGAGTCGGAAGTCGGAAAGGTGATTCTGCTCAGTGGCCACTTGGAAACGAGAGGAATATGGAAATAAAAGCCTCTTTTTACCTGTTCACAAGCTCTGATTTAAGACAGGAAATAGTGCCTTGTGAATATTTAAGTTTTCTTTTTACTAGATTATAAATTCCATATAACTTGGACTTCATAATCTTTAAACCAGTTCCTGGAAGAAGCATTAACTCACCAAGTTTTACTTCCTACAATCCCTCCATAAAGTAAGAGAACTGAAAGGCTTTCACAACTGTCCTGAAGAATAAATTATGTTCCCAAGTCTTCCTCAGCGGCCCCTGTGTGCTGCTGGCCACAGGGCGCACATCAGGGGGCTGAAAGGAGGAGGCCTTGCTCTTGTCCTCAGAATGTCTGACAAAACCTCTGGCAATGCTTAGAAATCAATTTTCAAAACCTTTGACTCTGCTTAAAATCAGGTTTCATGGCAGAATATAATTTTCTTTGGGGGCCCTCCACAAAATTGTGGAGTGCTTAGCATCCACAGAAAGAACCTGCCAGACCCATAGGTTTCACTTCAGCTCCACCCCTGCCACAGAGAGCTGAGTACTGGCCACTAGGGCACGCCTGTTATTGACAGAGTCCTCTATTTTCATTCTAGCCTCATTTTCTAAGCATGAATAAAAGTAGAAAATAAGAGTATGTGGAAGCCCCTGAACTGTGGGCATCAGTCCTTCCCTCCATGCCCAGACATCTGTGTGGTTGGTCAGTGCCCTGCTGAGTTTGAAGAAGACAAGTGTTTAGTTTTTGACCAAAACCGAGAGTAGGGAAAAAAAGGAAGGGAGTGATGCCTTGGAGTTTGCTGTTGTCCATCTACCTAGTTCTTTTGATAATCTAAACAGGTTTGATTACTCAGTTCTGGAAAAACTCTACAAAAGGAGATTATAACCTCTGTCTTTCAGAAATACTTAGAAGAGGTGAAAACATATTTTGGTGCAGAGCCACAGTCTGTTAACTTTGTGGAAGCTTCTGATCAAATCAGAAAGGAGATCAACTCTTGGGTAGAAAGCCAGACCCAGGGTGAGTGTCACCAAGGGGCTCGGCAGGGCGCTCTCTCTGGCATCATTGAATTTGTATCATGTGTAAGTATGTCTGTTCCTCAAACAGAACTGTGGACACATTCTAAATATTCATTTATTTCTACTTATGCCCATAATTTTCAGATTCACAATTTTCCCAGTAGGTCTTACCTCACACATGTAAGTTAAGCCACCACTTTACTAAGTAGACAAGAAAATTATCATACCCCACTAATTCCAAAGAGGAGTCCAGGAGTAAAAAGCAGGAAAAGTCAAAAGGTATGTTTAAACGCCTGCTGGATGTGTGGTTTTAAAGAAAAATAGCTATTGATTTGTAACCAAAAAGTAGGCATTAAATATAATCTCAATTACTTTTCAAAATAAGGTCACAAATTGACAGCTAGAAAAAAAGAACTGCAAATCAAGGAAAGGCAGAGACTTGAATAACCCTGTACTTTTGGATTGGAATTGGAGGTCTCAATATGACCTTGTACCCTTTAACATATACAGAGGAAAATAACTGGATAGATAGATGTGCAAATAGATGCAAATGTGTCTACAATACATGTATTTCTTAGCTCTGTTTTCTAAGAGGGTCTGGAAGCAGTGAAACCGGGTAGTAGTCAGTGTATCTAATGCCCGGGTCTTGATTTCTCAAATTACTACAAAACAACAGCCATGTATTCTCACACAGTTCTGGAGGGCAGGTGTCAAAATCAAACTGGCAGCAGGGCTGACTTCCTCTGCATGCTCTGCGGAGGAACCTTTCCCAGGCCTCTCCCAGCTTCTCCAGCTGGCTGGCAATGCTTGACCTTCTTTGGCTTGGAAAGGCATCATTCCAGTCTTGCCCTCTGTCAGCACCTGCCTTTTTCTTACATCTGTGTCTCTCGTGTGTCTCTGGAGCTTGCTTTCTCTTTTCTGTGTGTCTATGTCTGAATTCCCTCCTTTTCATGAGGACACCAGTCCCTGGATTTAGGCTCAGTCTAATACAGTATGACAATATCTTCACTCGACTACATCTGTAAAGACTCTATTTCCAATAAGGGTCACATTTATAGGTACTGGAGGTTAGAACACAAACGTGTCTTTCAATATTGAGGGGACAATATTCAACCTACAACAGTGATATTCACAAAAATGCATAGCCTGCATCTTTTCACAAGGAAACATTGGAAAAACTCAAATGTAGAATGTGGGGGCATTCTATAAAATGAATGGAAAGTCTCTCTCTGAAGTGCCAAGGTCATGAGAAATAATGAAAGAATGAGAAATTGTTCCAGATTAAAGGAGAAGAAGAAATTACAACCAAATGCAACATGAGATCTCGGATTGATTTCTGTTGCTAAAATATAAGACTTTGTTGAAACAACTGATGAAATTTGAAAAGACCTGTTAATAGTATTCAGTCAATACTAGCTTCTTGGTCTGGATCATTGGCATACACAGGATGCTATTATGATGTTTTATAATCATCTTTATAAATGTGGCCTATAGCCAGGATGTAAATATACTGTTTTCAATTGCTTATTGTTAGAAGGCAAGAAAAGAATTTATTGTAGTTTAACAGCATAACTCAACATTCAGAAGAACTTTCTTATTACTTTTAATTGTTTTTAAGTTGATTTTCCTTGCTTTTCATATTATCTGCCAATAATTACTTTATTTCTTCTTTCTATATAATTATATCCTATTTAGTTTATTTTTGTGTATTCATTAGCATTTTTGAGAAAAATGTTAAATAATGGTGGTCATAGCAGCCATAAATACCTCTAATGTTTCTTGGTTAGCACGATTATGGAATTTTGTTGGAGAAAAGCATTTTTTTTTTCATTTTATAGGAAGTATTCTTTGAAATTGTCTTACAAAGACATAATTTTAAAATTTGAAACTGATGTTTAAATAGATCAAAAGTAGGTTTTGCATCCATCAAGATGATGAAATAAGTTTTCCCTTATCGCCCATCAAAGCAATTGTCTCAGTCTGTTTGGGTTGTTATACAAAAATATCTTAGAATGGATCATTCATAAATAAGAAGAACTTACTGTTCACAGTTCCGGAGGCTGAGAAGTCCAAATTCAAGGTGCCAGCATAGTTAGGCCTGGGGAGGGCTTGCTCTTCACTTCTAAGATGGTGCCTTTTCACTGTCAGCACCTGATGGGAAAAGCAAACAGGCTCCACCAGTCCCTTTGATGAGGGCACTAATCCCATTCCTGAGGGCAGAGCCCTCCTGATCTGATCCCTTCTCTAAGGCCCCACCTCTCAGCACTGTCACACTGAGTATTAGGTTCCAACAATAGAATGTTGGAGGGACACAAGTTTTCAGACCATAGCAATAATACATTATACATTTCTTACTAGATGTTCCTTACATTTCTGAAAAATATTAGTTAGATTTATTTGTTAGAACTTGATTTAGGATTTATTTGCCTATATTCACAAGAGATATTTTTTTACAGGTGGGGATTTTGAGCTGCCTTCGTCACATTCCTAGTACTGGGAATGTACTAGCTTGATAAAGTGATCAGAGGACTTTCTATCGTATGCTTTGAAACTGTTTTAATAGTGTAGAGACATCAATTACTTGAGAGTTTAAACCCATTTGCCTACCTAAGTGTTGAGGGCACACACCATTGGTACAGGAGGTAATCATTTGACAGTTTTAACATTTCTATCATGTTTGATTTTCTTTTTTTAGGTTTCCAAATAATTCTTGGTTCCTATTAATATTTTCCTGAAAAATCATCCATATTGTTTTAAGATTAAGTGCTATAAGCTATCACTTATAATTTTTAAATCTCTCCCATGTCTGTATACTGAAAGCTCAGCCTTGTATTTTGAGTAATCTACTACAGGTGGAAGCTATGTGGCTAGGAGGTTGTTCTCAGTTCAGTTCTGTTTACCTCAGGTATCAAACATGTTTCCTCTGCAACAAAGCTCTAATTCTATATATATATAGAATAATAACATATAATATATATAATAACAGAATATAGAATAACATATAATATATATAATAACATATATATTATATGTATAATATTCTAAGAAGTCTTCTAAAGTGCTTTAATAGGGAGTTTGGAGAGAATTTATTGGGGGTTGCCAGTCAAGTGTCAGTTTAAGCAGTAACTTGAACAATCTGATGTAAGTGATTGCGCCAAGTAATCTTTTGGGCAACAGAAAAACATTGGCACAACCTTTCAGATGTTAATCAGAGCAACTTAAAGTTTGTGGCTACAAGCAGAAGTAAAAGGAAAGGAAACCTTTCAGTCCCTCAAAAATAAGAGCATAAATCAACGCAAAGGGAAGTTTTCATAGTTCAAACACGAATTTGTAATAATGTGGAATAATGCCTCCTGACCACTGAGCGTACTGTTACCCTGGTGTTTCTCTCTTTGCTCGTGGCTACTCTGCACAGGAACTGCACTTAACCCTACATTGCTCTTTTCCTGGAAATCTAAAATCAGGACTGTAAAAAGAAAATTTTGAAGCTTCCAGAGAAATGGAAGTCTCGTTGCCTTTAATTAAATGTGCATGTTGAACCTAGCCATCTGAAACCTGTCCTCTTGCTCTTAAAGGTAAAATCCTGAATCTCCTGCCTGATGACTCTGTGGATTCTACAACCCGGATGATTCTGGTGAATGCCCTTTACTTCAAAGGAACCTGGGAGCATCAATTCTTAGCGCAAAACACCACAGAAAAGCCTTTTAGAATAAATGAGGTAGGATACTTTTAAAGATTAGTTTGGATTTTTACAAGGAAGGGTAAAAGAAATTCTACTTATTAAATTCACTTTTCTTTTTGGTTATATATTCTTTTAAACTGAGCCTCTTACTCAGAAAGAGATGCCGGGCTAAAAGCCTCCGGCACTATCCTATCTGGACAGTCCTATTTCATTGTTTTTCTCTGAATATAAACTGCTTACATAATGCTGCCACTCACAACTTCTTGTGGCCATGTGAGCTGGATAGAGTGTTTTCCGATTTATTTTCCAGGTGAGAAATACAGTGTAGCCAATTGGCTGGAGGCATTCCTGAGTCAGAGCATCCCAGAGTCAGAATCTAAGTTTTGTTCACTATAGAAGTTCTGTTCATGTTCTTCTAAACCAGTAATATCTTCTACCAAATCTTACCTTTACATAAGTAAAAAAATGAAAAATTAAAATCCTACATTGTTCATTAAGATTTCTCTCTGCCCGAGGACACAATACACTTGTTCTATAATAAGAAACAGAAACTCACTATGGCAAAAACAGAGACCAATGTAAAGTTAAAGATGTATCTCTTATGGATTCCACGGGCTGGGGCCTTGGGACCTGAGTGGAAACAAGGGTTCAACTATTGTCAGGGTTTTTTTCTCTATATGTTCAACTCTGTCACATCCATCATTCTTCTCCCATGCTGAAGCCCAACTTTCTCTGCTTCACAGGCAGAACGTGGGTATTCACAATACCTTCCACATTCTAGACCCAGTTTGACAAATTCTATTCCATATTCCTAGGGAAGAGGCTGGTTGGCCAAGGCATTGTGCAATTGTTTAGTCCAGGGATGGGCCAAGTCGTACAGACAGCGCCACTGAGGACCCAGTGCTGTTAACTGTGCAGCTGTGTGCAATAGGCATTTCTCAATCAGCAGGCAAGGACGGGGAAGGAACGCAACATATAACCTAGAAGGTTAGTGAGAAATGAGCTGGTTAGTTTCCTAGGTTAGCCTACTCACCACGAATTTTCAGTTGCAAGTAATAAAAAAAAATTTCAAACCAGCTCCTGCAAAATTATATTGACATTAGCTTATGTAACTTAGAGAGTCTGAGAAGTCCAGGAGTAAGTGAATGGGTCTCTAGCATCTCAAAATATAATCTCCAGTCTATCTTCATTTCTCTTTCTCCCTTTGTCCTTTTTTTCCCTCTCATTCTCTTTCTCCCTTCCCCCATGCTTCTCTGATTGTTATTCTCATGTAATGAAGATGGAGTTTATCCGCATGACCAGGGGATGTGGTTGCCCTGCTGCTATTGATACATTGTTATTAACTAAAAGCTATAGTGGACATTCAGGCTCACTTTCAGTATTGTACAGTTCTATGGGTTTTGGAAAATGTATAATGTAATGGAGCCACCATTACGGAATCATTCAGAATAGTTCCACTGCCCTAAAAATGCCCTGCAACTCCCTAAACCTCTGATAGCACCTGATCATTTTTGGTTTCTACAGTTTTGACTTTTTTGGAATGGCATACCATTAAACTCATAAAATATGTAAATTTTTCAGGCTGCCTGTTTTCACTTAAGTGTTTCCCATGTCTTAACTTTACATTTAAGTTTTTTCCATGTCTTGAGAGATCTTTTTGTTTGATTGCTGAATGATATTCCATTGTATGATGCACCACTATTTGTTTATCTTGGTTGCTTCCAATTTCTGGCAATAATGAATAAAGTTTCCATAATCCTTTGTGTGCGTGTTTTTGTGTGGACACAGATTTTTTAACACATATAGGTAAATACCTAAGAGCACAACTGCTGGATTATAGGATAAGACTGTGTCGAGTTTGCTAGGAAGTGGCTGTTGTACCATTGGCCTTCCCACTGGCCATCAGTGACCGCTCCTGTTGCTTCATATCTTTGGCAGTATTTGGTGCTGTGAGTGTTTCACATTTTAGACATTCTTATAGATATGTTTAATGATTTAGAGTGAGCAGTTTTCATATGTCTTCTTTGGTGAAGTATTTCTTCAAATCTTTTGTCCTCATTTTTTTGAATTGGGTTATTTGTTTTATCATTGTTAATTTTTAAGAATTCTTTGTATATTTGGAATACCAGTCTTTTATCAGACATACGTTTTGCAAATATTTTCCCCTACTGCTTTTCATTCTCTTAGTGAATTTCAATTTTTGTGATATCAAAATGCTTTTTCAAATGTTTGCACGTGAAATACACCTTACTCAGTTTCTGGATAATTGTCATTTACATAACAACATACATTATTTTAAGTGTTTGGCAGACTCTACCTTGCTATGATTTATATCCTCTCTTGGTAACATTACTCAGTAGACTACATATTGCCAGAAAGGAAGGTCTGCACAACTCGATTCAGCATTTATCAGAGGATCATGAACTTTACCAGTGTCCCAGAAAACTGGAAACGAATGATGGTAAAGAATCAAGGATTTAGGGGGGAAGGGCAGCTTTTCAATGATTTTGTTATTTTTTTATAGACTACAAGCAAACCAGTGCAAATGATGTCTATGAAAGAAAAACTTCATGTTTTCCACATAGAAAAGCCACAAGCCACAGGTCTTCAACTCTACTACGAGAGGCGTGATGTCAGCCTGTTCATACTGCTGCCAGAAGACCTCGGGGGACTGGAACAGGTAAAGCATCCGTCTGTCTGGTGTGTCTGTGCATGTAGGGGGGCTCCAGTGTTTATTCCCTCTGTTCTATTGTGAAAAGCATAAACACATGGTCTCCCCTTTCTTTAATTCCTATATAGAAATCCATCCAACATTCTTTAATCCCTAGGTATTTTGCCTTCACAATATTATTTAAATTTTATAAAATTCTATTAAGTTGATATCACTATTTCTCAGAAAGGTTAAGTAGTATACAGACATCTATAGCATGAGGTGGTCACACAAATAGCCATATGTACAACAGGTACAGATATTTTTAGTCATACAACTGTCAAAATTGTGTGGATTGATCATTACAATATTTCAATCAGATTAGGACTCAAATAGACATCTTAAACTGACTTTCAAAACTTATTTTTTAAACCTTTCTATCAAGCAAACAGCCTTCATGACAAAAAATCTGTGTCAATACCATCTTCAAGTATTATTTAAGCTGTATGTCATCCAGATTTCTATTAAATAAGCCAGACATAACTGTGGTCAGATCATGTTTCTGAGTAGTTTGTGTGCCTAATCTGAACATGAGGTGCTTATACAAAGCTCTTTCATTACACTGTGCCTGACTTTTCCTATATGCCAGACTTAATACTTACAAGTTTCCAAGGCCCTACTGCGGTGTAGAAAAGACTTCCAAATTATATCAGACAATTTGTGAAACTGGAGATAGTGGTAAAAATAATACCACTGTGGGCAAATAACCATGAGAGTCATGGCCTTGTAAGGTAAGGTCTTCTTCCTAGGAGTGCAGGTTCCTGAGCCAAAGATACTGTCTCATTAGTAATGTAAACATTTTACAGGTATGTGGTTGAGAGCTGAAGCTTTAGTCTAGAGAACTCTTGAAGAAGTAAAAGCTTGTGCTTTGAAACAAATGTGTCATTAAAAATATGAGAATTATACACATTTATACATACATGTATATTATTTCATAATTTTAAAAGAAAAAGAGGAGAGAAAACACCATCAATCTCATTATAAAAATCATTACTCTTAAGAGCTAGGGCCTTTCGTTTCTTTGTTTTGGCATAGTATGTAGTTATTAATTTCATATCATTGTAATTATAAAAATTGGTTTTTATCAACATGGGAAGTAGTTCTTTGAAAACAAAATCTGGGATAAAATACAATGTCTGTAGTTATTAATTTCATTTTGTTGTAATTATTAACTATAGACACTGTATTTTATCCCAGATTTTGTTTTCAAAGAACTACTTTCCATGTTGATAAAACCCATCTTTTCATGGCCTGGTAGGCAGCGTGAACCTAGAGCATGTGCTTTTGTGTAGACAACATCTAAATGTATTCTCACTTTGGTGTATTTGAGTATAGAATCGATGTTTTGCATACTACAGTAGAAGTTCTTCCACTTTGAATCAAAGTCTAATTCTTCTATATCCTGAAAGCTATTAATCTGCAAGACAAAAATCCTAAAAGTCAACATTGTGAAAGATCTCATCACACAGCCAAAGGATTTCCAAATGTGTGTTTTGTTACTCTGGGTAATGGGAGTGATCACAGTTCATGTAATTTCTAGGTGGTCTCACTCAACTACTACGTCTCACTGCAGTTTGGAATTACTGATTCTTTCTTCCTTGCTTCCAACCTTGCAGCTAGAAAAGGCCATCACCTATGAGAAGCTGAATGAGTGGACCAGTGCAGACATGATGGAGTTGTATGACGTGCAGCTGTCTCTGCCCAAGTTCAAGCTGGAAGAGAGTTATGACCTCAAGTCCACCCTGAGCAGTATGGGGATGAGCGATGCCTTCAACCCGAGCAAAGCTGATTTCTCAGGAATGTCTTTAGAGAGAAACCTATATCTGTCCAATGTTTTCCACAAGGCTTTTGTGGAAATAAATGAAGAAGGTACTGAGGCTGCAGCTGGCACAGGGAGTGAGGTGGGTTTTCGAATTAAATACCCCTCCATTGAATTCAACGTAGATCACCCATTCCTCTTCTTCATCAGGCACAACAAAACCAATAGCATCCTCTTTTATGGAAGATTCTGCTCCCCGTAAACCTTGCATCTCTCATCATCAAATCGGATCATCTGACAGTGTGAAAAATGCATCATACGCTGGACAAACCCAATTTTCTCAAAAATATTCTTGTAGACTAGATTTTTCCATACTTGAATATAAGTAAATAAATCTTGAAATAATGCATTCTAGTGATTCTGTCAGCTACAGAGATTAACATTTTTTTATTTTTTACCACTTAATACTTTGACTCAATGTAACATTCATTTACATTTCAGAAGAACTATGTCCTTCAGTTGAATGACTTGCAATTCATGAGATGCTTGTTCACTGCGTTATCATTGACACTTCTCATATTTCACATACATCATTTAGTGAAAAAATATACAGGAGATATGATATTTATCAGGAATAGTTTGCTCAAGATTATCATTTTGGTGGTTCGTAAATTATCACTGTAAAATTAAATCTTCTTTCCTATTGATTATTTAAAAAGACTTCTATTCACATTAATGGAAAGACTAGTGACATCCAAATGAAATCTGTGGTTTCATTAATAGCAGCGTGTTAATATTGCTGTCTTAGTTTTGACAATTGTATGTTGTAGTGTAAGATGTTTGCATTAGGGGAAACTATATTCGGGGTATCTGAAAATTCCCTGTATTATCTCTGCACCTTTTCTTTGGATCTAAAATTATTTCAAAATAAAAATTTTCTTAAATATAATTATTGTGTATTGCTAAAATATTCGAAGTCAACATCCCACAGAAACCTTAGTCCTCTTGATCTGTCCTGCACGAAGCTGGCGGAAAATATTCCCCTGATTCACAGTTTCTGTGCTGGAAGAAGTGACATCAAGGTGGACGAGCTTCCCAGCCATCCTTTGGGTTCCGCAGCCGGACAACTATTTCCTCCTCAACCCACAGGAAGCACCAGAAATGTCCAAAGGAAGAAAGATCCCTGAGGAGAGCTAAGACACAAAGAGGGTGGGTAGGACCACCATCCCTGGCCCGGGAATCTCTGTAACTTGTCCAAAAGAGGCGGCAAATCAGAGTGGCTGTTAAGCAGCACCCCGACTTAGGGGGCTGGTCACACAGGTCCCTTCAGCACAAACCCCTAAGTCTTTGCACACTGTTTGGATTCTTCCTTTGGGGCTTCCCCTAGAGCAGGATCAAAGCGAGCAACCGCTGGTTGTTTCCTAGAGCTGAGGCAAACCTGGGCTTAAGGCACCATCTAGTGGTGAAAAGAAGATAGATCCTAGTGTCAAAAAAAAAAAAAAAAAAAGAAAGAAAGAAAAAGAAAAACTAACAGGTACATTACTAAAAATCTTTAAGCAAACGTATCTAATAAAAATCAAAAAAATGCGAATATAAAAACTGAAATGACTAGCTTATCTTTCAATGCAAAGAAGTATACATACACAAGAAACAGCAACAAACGTGGAACCATAACCGCCTAAAATAGATGAAGCAAAAAATAAGCGAGGGACCTTTACTCCTCCAGCATTCTTGCAAAAAATGAGCATCTGAGTTTCCCAACCTGCTCTGGCCTCCAGAATTTGGCCAACATCGCAGCACTTTTGAGGTTATTCAGGGATAACTGTGAGGGATATTCCAGATCTTGCAACTCTCTTGTTTCTATTAAAATTCAGGATAAAAAATTTGAAATATTTGTTGCTCTTAAGTTAAGAGGAGATGAGGGACATTTTAATCATATTGAGATTTTGGTGTGTTAGATAAAATTGGCACTTAAATTAATTTCTTCTCTCCCCAGACCTTCTTATAGCTTTGGGAACAAAAATTATAGAAAATTAATATTCAAATGTTGAATACTCAAATGCTAAGGGGAACTAGGTCAGGTGTCGCATGTTAGCTCTTGGGGTCTAATTGTATTTTATGACAGGAATGTGGCCCTAAGCTGCCTTTCTATTGTGGCTCGTAGGACTGATGTGGTAAGTAATGTTTGCATTTGGTCCTAGGGCTCACTGCATCCTGGGGGTACTTGGTGCACTGGGATTGACATGAAATTAAGAGAGAAACAATCCTTGAAATCACCATCTAGCTCCCCCTTGCAGAAACAAGGTAAATATCCAGGTGAAGACTGGCAAATGGGTTTCACTCATCTCCCTAAGTTTCATGGTATAAAAATATTTGCTGGTATTTGTGGATGCTTTTACTAATTGGGTTGAAGCATTCCCTTTTAGGAGAGAAAAGCTCCAGGAAGTTATAAAGGCTTTAGTACATGAGATTATCCCCAGGTTTGGACTCCGTAGGAGTTTGCAAAGTGATAATGGTCCGGCCTTCAAAGCAGCTATTACACAGGGAATATCTAAAGCCTTAGGCATAAAATATCATCTGCACTGCTCTTAGAGGTCCCAGTCCTCTGGGAAGGTAGAAAAAATGAATGATAAAATCAAAGGACAGTTCCAAAAGCGAACTCAAGAGACTCATCTCCCTTCGACTAAATTGCTTTCCATTGTTCTCCTTAGAATAAAAAATTTACCTCAGAAACTCAATTGTAGCCCATTCAAATTATTATATGGAAGACCCTTTTTAGCTAACAATTTATTATTAGATCAAGAAATTACAGAATTAGTAAAACATATTACTTCTTTAGCTGAATTTCAACAAATCCCTAAAAACCTCCCAACTACATTTTCACATTCAATACTAAAGGAGCTTTTCTCTCCTGGAGATCTGGTCATGATCAAAACTCTTCCCTCTAAATTCACCTTCCCTAACCTCAACTTGGGAAGGTTCCTTTTCTCTTATCTTGTCTTCTTCTACAGCTGTTAAAGTTATGGGAATAGGTTCCTGGATACATCGTTCAGGAGTAAAACCCTGGAACCCACCACCTTCTACAGAAGCAGACCATGAATCAACCACAGTCCACCTACACTTGTGAGCCTAAAGAAAATTTAAAGTTATTGTTTAGGAGACAGTAAGGAAAATGTTAATATAGTTTTCTTTTTAACATCACTGACTTTGTTCTTCTAACCTGACACTGTAATTAATCCCCTCTTCTCACTGTTCTACTCTTGCCTTTTAATGTGCTAATCAGATTTGTGTCTTCCAGAAATGTCAGCAAGCCACACACAGTAAAGATGGTTCCAGTCCAAGACCTGATTCTATCGTGGACCCCTAGATCACTCTCCCTCCAGAGAAACCCTAACTGCCCCCTTCCATCATGGCCCAACTCAGCAGGAAGCAGTTAGATCAAATCTTTGTCCTTTTTCCCTAACAGCATTTACAAGTTCTACTCTGAGAGGGAGAGTTGAAAAACAGGACATGTGGCAACCTAGCCAGCTCAGTGGAGCTGAGGTTGAGGGGAAAGGTGGATTGGCTGCCTCCACCTTGGCAGTGTTGGTGTGGTGGCAGCGAGCAGAGGAACCAGCAGGCTGGAGGGTAGTTATGGGGGCCCTGCAGGAGGCTTCAGTAGCTAGAGAAGCCAGACAACTGCCAGGGAGACACCAGGTCCTTAGGTTTCCCTCCCCGTGCACTTGCGGCTGAACAGAGAACCCTCATTTCCTAGGCTTGGGCATAAAAGAGATTGTAGCCACTCATTCATGACATAGACACAACCTAGACATGCCCCAGACACGCAAATGTAACTACTGAGCCCTGCTAAATGTAACTACAGAGGGCCCCATTCGACTATAATATGCCCCTAGACCAGCGGTTCTCAACCCACATACCCACAGGAACTGTGTTACAGAGCCACAGCATTAGGAAGGTTGAGAGCCACTGCCCTAGTCAAAGAGCCCAGAGACAGACAGAAAGAGACAGAGAGAGGAAGCTTTTCTCTCCCGACTTGGCTTTTCTCTCCCTGCTGGGAGTTTTGGTGTTTTTATATTCTTTTCTGTAAATAAATTCTGTCTTACCCCTGATCTGTGGTCTGTGGATTCATTCTTCAAATCACTGAGACCAAGAAACTACTGAAGATGAAATTCTGGTATCAATGGGATTGCTGGATCAAATGGGAGTTTGAATTCTTTGATGATTCTCCCTACTTCCTTCCAAAAGGGTTGTATTAGTTTGCAGTGCCACCAGCAGTATAAAAGTGTTCCCTTCTCTCCACATCCATGCCAGCATCTGCAGCTTTGAGACTTTATGATGTGGGCCATCCTCACTGGGATTAGGTGATATGTCAGGGTAGTTGTGATTTGCATTTCTCTGATTAGGGATGATGAGCATTTTTTCATGTTTGCTAGCCATTCATCGGTCTTCTTTAGAGATGGTTCTATTCATGTCCCTTGCCCAGTGATATATTGATTGTTGGGTCTTTTTTTGTTGATTAATTTGAGTTCTCTATACATCCTAATTATCAAGTTTTTGTCTGACTCCTAATATGCAAATATCTTTTCCCATTCTGAAGGTTGTCTGTTTGTTTTGGTTGTTGTTTCCTTAGCTATACAGAAGCTTTTCAGTTTAATTAAATCCCATTCATTTATTTTTGTAGTTGTTGCAATTGCCATGCTGTAGATTTAAATCTTATCTATCTTGAATCAATTTTTGTAGGCGGTGAGAGGTGAAGGTCCAGTTTCAGTTTTTTACATGTGATTATTCAATTCTCCCAACACCATTTATTGAATAGGGATTCTTTTCCCCAGTGTATGGTCTTGTTTGGTTTATTAAAGATCAGGTGGCTGTAAGATGTTAGTTTCATCTCACAGTTTTCTATTAAGTTCCAAATGTCAGTGTCTCTATTTTTGTGCCAATACCATGCTATTTTGATCACTATGGCCTTGCAGTATAGCTGAAAGTCTGGTGGATGATACCCCCAGCTTTGTTTTTATTACTAAGAATTGCCTTGACTATACAGGGTTTCTTCTGGTTCCATACAAAATGAAGGATTATTTTTTCCCAATCTTGAAAGTATGATGGTGGTATTTTAATGGGAATTGCACTGACTTTGTAGATTGTTTTGGGTAGTATAGACATTTTCATAATGTTGATTCTTCCCAGCCATGAGAATGGTATGTTCTTCCATTTGTTAATATCTTCTACTATTTCTTTTCTTAGGGTTTCATAAGGTTCTTT